GCTCCGTAGTGTGCGGCCGCACACTACGGAGCCGGTGGGAGAAGTTCCGCCGCCGGGACACCTCACACCGGCGCCCGCAACTTCCCCACAAGGTCACCGCTGCCGCCCCTCGTCGCTCTGCCGCCCCGAGGCCGGGGCTCGGTGGCCTTGTGGGAAATCCGGGCCTGCTAAAGGGTGAAGAGTTTGGAGAAGGGAACAATCTGGGACCTCATAGCTGAACTGGAAAGTGACCTGAGTTGGAGAATCCTTCCTTGTTGTCCTTGATTGTTCCCTTTTCCAAACCCTTCACCCTTTAGTGAATAGCCCTGTCTGTCTTTACTGTGCCAACTGCCCACGTGACTTCCTCTGAGTGGCTGCCCCGCCCAAAACTATATACCTGGCTCTCCCTGGACATAGAGCTCCCTCAGGGCAGAGCAACCCTTTAACTCTCCAGTGACTCCCCCCAGTCACTCACCATTGCCTATGGGGACATCTAGTGGCAGATTGGCATATTGCAATCCTCAATCCGAACCCCACTACCCTACAGCACCGCATGGATCTAAGGTATCTGGTCCATCTACTTCCCATCGATCGGTCACCTCTGGCCACCCGATACCCTCGTCAGCAATAGCTGCCCTGGATTGTGACTAGGACATGTGACCACGCACATCCTCTCAGGGGAGGAAAACGCCTTTCCCTGAGATCTCGCGAGATTACAGACGAGATTTGCCAGCAATGCTCTGCGGATGACGAGGCGATCCCGGCGTGCGTCGCTTTGCCAAACTGAAGTCATTTTGCCCTTTCAGGAAGCAGGAAGTGAACGCTCTGCCAGTGTCAGTATTTCACAATCACCTGACATGTCTGTTATTATTAATCATCATACATAGGGGGGGTGTAATGGTAGAATCTGATTTTGGAGTGTAGAGGTCCCTTTAAGGGGCAAATATGACCGGGACACAAATCAGAATGGTGAAATGATCTATTGCTGGAATGATATCACACTCCCCATGCTCATAGATCACCGAGGATGTGTTAGAAACCTAAAAGAATCCCACGGGGACTTCTCTCAGATCACCTCCCTCATTCTCAGGGCTTTGTGGGGTGTTATAAGTATGGAAGGGGGTCACATGTCTGCCCATTGCCAAAGCCCGGCCTTGGCAGCTGAGTGGACTAGCTGGGTCTAGGCGTGACTGATGACCATCCGGGACACTCGGCAACAATGACAAGGCCGTGTTCAAACTACGAGACGTTTCTCGAGGCTGCAGTTCCTCTGAGCTCCACAAGGTGGTGACCTCACCTATACCGAAACAGGAAGTCTCTATGACAGGAAGTGATGTCAGGTGCAGACAGGAAGTTCCGGGTGAGAGGTCAGCTGTGAGGCCGTATAAAGGAGACATTGCCGGAACTTGCAGCAGAGGAGGTAATAGCATTTTTGATATTTATACCCGTCTTGTCCGTCCTCCATAGTCACTGTGACGTCTTTTATCTCCAGCAGATGCTGCTACACACATATATGGTAGAAATGTATAAATTCATGTGTTCAGGGACAGAAATTTTACCCGATTATGGGGGTCAGAACATTGTCTTCATTTTGTTATCTCTCGTCTTGACTATTGTAACTCCCTCCTCATTGGCCTTCCACTACACAGGCTCCTCCCCCTTCAGTCTATCATGAATGCAGCTGCCAGACTCATCCACCTAACCAACCGCTCAGTGTCTGCAACCCCCCTCTTCCAATCCCTGCACTGGCTTCCATCCCCCGCCCTCCTCTGCCAATCCCTG